GCTGCACCATGTGCAGCACCGGTCCGAAACGTGTTAAGGACAAAATGTGTGACACAGCTTGCTAGACTAATTCACCGTAACCGCTTGGGTAAAGCTGTTTATGCAGCCTACCATGACTTCAAAGTGAAATCTTCTCACAGAACGGAGGAAGTACCTAACCTGAATTTCATCCAGACTTGCTGAAGGCATCTTTCGTGTATCATTTGATATTTCGCAGGGGACCATTCTTCCCCGCTTGAACAAAGCACTACAATTACTTTCCCCAACAACTATGAAACACAAAAAAATAACCAAACTGTAGAACGGTCTTACACCATATCCCACAAATGAAACATGCAAATTTTACGCCAAATTTATTACCATAAGACGCGTACAAATAAGCTTTCGCACTCCAAATCAAAGAAAAAAAATGTACATGTTCAAAAAAAAGCAGCCAAAACACATAAAATGCAAAGGCTGATGTATGATGAGCATTCAACGAGCAACACAAACACTGCCCATACACAAACCAGAGGATCGAAGGGTCGTTACAAAATCGAGAAATTCATATTCAGATCATAGTGTACTGGTTCGAAGCATAGACATGCTCTTAATAGATCTCTGGTCCTAAACAAGCTTATCTTTGACTTTATTGATCCTTTTTCTCTCCACTTGCGATAGTTCCATTTTCGGTAGCATGACCCGCTGCACGTCGTTCGCGAGCAGCAGCAAGAGCTCTGAAGTAACGCACAAATTATTACCTTCAAATCTAGAGAAAAAATGTAATCTTACCTAGATAAGGCATCCCAGATTCCACCCATGAATACTGCACAGAATAAGTTTTCTATCGGCGCGAATGGATCGACAACGTTGAGGAAGATCGCCGAAAGTTTGAAGTACACAAAGAAGCCGACAACACACTGAAAATTTCTTTTGCAATGGGAGTGACTGGGTCAGTCGCGTTTATGATCACAAATAGATACAAAACAGGGTATGTTATAGCACCTACTTCCCTTACATCAGCAGGTAGTACGTCAACAATTTTTTTTGAACTGAGCGTCGAGGTTAATAATTTCAAAAGCCTACCCACATTACAATTATAAATCTTAGAACAAGAATCTATATCAATTGTTAGGATGAGGAAAAACCTTGCCATGACGTAAAAATCTCAAATATAAGGCTGAATGTCTGTTTGTCTGTCTGTATGTTTGTACGTATG